ACTGCAGCCTCGGCCGATAAATCGGAGGCCATCAGCACTTGTCTTCAAGACCACAGAGCGGAAACCGTCAGCCAGTCAAGGGAAACAGGCTGGGAAAACACAGTCCGTCGTCCTCCAGTCCACGGTGCTCCCCAGACTGTCCGCACCTGGATGGGGCTGTCATCACACAGCGGGAGGAGGCCGCGGCTAGAAGCCCATCAGGCGGAAGGTAGGCCTTGGGCTGATGGAAACGCCGAAAGGCCAACAAGGGGGTGTAACTGCCTTCCAGGCGGTGATTATCCCGAGGACATCAGCCCCTTTGCGGCATCCTAGGGCCGGTGCGCGTTTCCCCCAGGGGTGACCTTGAGAATGTAGGACGGAGCAGCAAATTTGGAAGACCAGCTCCTGCTCGGTGTGTGAAAATTCCCGAGTCTGCTCTTCCTGGACACTTTGGAACCCCAACGGGATTGGCAGCCGCTGCCTCGGGAAGTTCCACTTGGAAAGTTCCTCAAGAAGTCATCTGCAGCGTCCCCCAACCCAGCCCAAAATGGCGTTACCTAGGATTTTTTTGAACAGCGCAGGTTCACGGTTTTCAACAGGATTCTGGTCTGGCCCCCCAGATGCATGCTGCCCAGTCGCCACCGGGGCGAAATCTGAAAGCACCCAAGCAGTGACTGCGAGGTGGAGATCTGAAGCTTAAAATCTTAGAGGCCACTGGCCACCTGGAAAGCTGATCTCCAACTTGAGCATCTCAGACCCAAACCACCTCCCCCCACGCCCTACCCGGAAACGGGGTCTGCCCTGGCTCAAAGCAGGGCAGAGATTCTCATCGACCTCGTACCTATGAACTTCAGCGGGTGTTCGTCATTATGGCAGCTCACCGACCATCCCCGCCACTCCTGTCGGGCGTGATGGCTCTCTCACCGTGGCAGGCACGGTCTGGTGGCAAATCAGATGTCGCCAGTCATAGGAGGGCAGCTGAGGGATGCCGCCTCTTGCCCTCCAGAGACAGCCAGAGAGGGAGAAAGTGCGCTAATGTCCGCAAGTTGAACGGCATGTCCCAGGGGTTTGAAGCTTTAGGAAACTGACAGCTGGTCAGAAGCGAAATGGGTTCGAATTCATTAATTTCAGGTGAGTGCTAGTGCCTCCCTAAATTATCACACTAGCGGCTAGAGTCTGGTTGATCACAGAATCACAGGCCTTCGTGGCATAAAAACCACAGGGCGAAGAGCCCACTAGCTACAGCATATAATGCTGATATCCCACCGGGAACCCTTCGAGCTCCGTGTGTGCACCCTGGCGTCTGTGTACTCACAACAGCCAGCCACCGGAGATCTTGAGGCTGACCGTGGCTTCCAACCGAGCTGGCTTTGCTCAGAGGTGCAGAAAGCCACGGGTTGCCTGGGTTTTAAGTCCACCCCCCATCCTCCTCCTGGGCTGGGGAGGGGGGGCGCCTAACAAATAGCTGACAGGTGCAACCATTCTGAGGCAGGGCTTGCCTTCCAGTTTCCCTGATGACATTGGGCCAAAGCTCCCCTCTGTGGGACTCTGCTGGACCTTGGGGTCTTCTTTGGCACCTTCCTCTGTCCTGTCCTGCCTGGGTATGACCTCCCTGAGAGCCTGGCCTTGACCTGGAGTCCTCATCCCAGGGTCTGCTCAGGGGTCATGTTAGCTTCACCTGCTCTGATACTCTACTCCTCCAGCAGCCTTCTTAGACTTTGAAGGCAAGACTTATTCTGGAGATTACCTCGATCAGATACATGCTTTGCAAATATTGTTTCCTATTCTGTAGGCTGCCTTTTCACTCTGTTGACTATTTCCTAATGTTTAGTTATTTATTTTGAGAAAAAGAGAGTGGGGGAAGGACAGAGAGAATCCCAAGGAGGCTCTCCCCTTTAGCACAGAACCTGACGTGGGGCTCAATCTTACCAACCATGAGATAGTGACCTGAGCCAAAATCAAGAGTCGGGCGTTCAACTGAGCCACCCAGGTAGGTGCCCCTCTGTTAACTATTCCTTTGCCGAAAAAGCAGAGGCTTTTTCATTTAACATGGTTCCACTTGTCTATTCTCCTTCTTTATTGCCTGTGCTTTTGGTATCCTATCGGTGAAATCATCGCCAAGATCAATGCCATGGATCTTTTCCTTGTACAAGCTTTACCCAGCATCAAGAGTGTGACATACACTTAAAATTTGTCAAGAGGATCTATCTCGGGGCACCTGGGTGGCTCAGTCGGTGAAGCGTCCGACTTCGGCTCAGGTCATGATCTCACGGTTTGTGAGTTTGAGCCCCGTGTCAGGCTCTGTGCGGACACCTCGGAGCCTGGAGCCTGCTTCGGATTCTGTGTCTCCTTCTCTCTCTGCCCCTGCCCCACTTGCGCTCTGTCTCTGTCTATCAAAAATAAATAAAAGTAAAAAAAAAATTTTTTTAAAAAGAGGATCTATCTCATGTTAAGTGTTCTTACCGCAATAAAATTTTTAATAAGAAGGAAAAAGGGAAGATATATTTGCATAAGAAACAGTTCAAAGAATTACCATTGGCATACAAATACCCAAATAGACAGTTTACAGTCCAGCAGGGATGATACCCAGATCTATGTTCATACACATCACATTGTCTTTAGACTATGTTACATGCACACACACACATGCAAAAGTAGTGCAAAGATAAAGGTAACCAGGAAGAATGAACCACCTAAACGCTGAACTTGAAGTCCACCTATTGCTGAGGCATAAAAGGATATTTTAGGATTCCTTCTCTCAAAGTAAGCCTGTGGGAAAGCAGTCTGGCTCCCTTGGCATCACCCTTAAAGGGTCGGAGCGTGCCTCCAGAAAGTCAGTCTTGCTTCATCAACACCTCCCCCAGGATGTGACATCCATGAAAATATCCAAAGGCTTCTGTGGCCTTCTCGGGAATAACGTGTTCCACGAGTTTCCCGCAGTGACACAGGGCGAGGAGCAGAAAGACCGTAGCAACAGATACATATAGGTTTGGATGCTGCCTCTACTACTCCTACTTCTGTGGCATTGGAGTTCCAACTACCCAAATGTTTGTCCAGCCTTCCCTTCTGTCAAGTGGGGCAGCCACCACTGTCCTCACAGGCTCGTGGTGAGGAGTCTGTGTGTTAAGCATCCAGCTAGGTACCTGGCACCTAGTAGGACTCAGTGAAGTTTGTTTTCCGTCTGTCCTACATCATGGAGGAAATCCTTGCTTTCTTGCAAGGACTCAGAGCCAAGAGACATTCAAGGGACTTTTGAAGACAGAGATCTGGTAAGCTCCTTGAAGGCAGAGGCTAAATCTTTTAAGTGTTCCGGAGAGTGCCAAGCCTGGGGGAGCTGCCCAATAAACATTTAAATAATAATAGTTGCTTACGAACTGGATTGTGGTCTCAGTTCCCTTGGAGAGGTCGCCACCTGGTGGACAACACTCAACACAGCACACCTCTGGGAACGCGTGCACTCCTAGGGCCATTTAAACCCTGACAACCTGCTGCCATTTACAGCTCCCGCGAGCCTGTGCGAGTAACAAGGAGTTTCTGGAGAAGCAGAAAAGGCAATTTAGAAGGAAAATAGCAACTTCTTGGGGTTCTAAAAAGATCAATGCATTTTCTTGCCTCTGGTCCTTGGCTTAGAGACTCCATCTTGTCCCATCTCCTGGCCTTAAGGTTTACAAGAATTACAAATTCGCATCTGAAATCCTCAAACTTCAAAGCATGTTAAACATCAACAAAAGTAACCTTAAACTAAGCCAAGTGACAGGGAAAACGTCAAAGCCTCTCCATCTATATGTAGGGGGCATGGGTAGCAGGAAACCAAGATAGAAATATCTGGTCTCCACTGCTCTGAAATGTTAACACTACTTGATTTTTGTATCTAAGATACACAATCACCTCATGGAAACATACTGGCAACAGACAGCTGATTTCTGAATGGTGGATACACTGATAAAACAGAGCAGAAAGGAAATTCTAAATGGGGGGGGGGGGGGTGGAAGGAGAAATCCTGGGCTCCCATTCAGTAAGTCTGATAAAATGGAAAGAACACAGGGGCACCTGCGTGGCTCAGTCGGTCGAATGTCCGACTTGGGTTCAGGTCATGATCTCATGGTTTGTGCGTTTTAGCTCCACATAGGGCTCTCTGCTGTCAGCACAGAGCCCACTTGGGATTCTCTGTCCACCCCCTCTCTCTGCCCCTTCCCAGTTGATTCTCTCTCTCTCTCAAAAATAAAACATTTTTTAAAAACGGAAAGAACGTGGCTTTAAAGGCTACCAGATGACTGGCTACAAATCCCAATTGGGCCATCTTGGACAAAGTATTCAGCCTCTCTAAAACCGTAAAATGAGTTGATCAACTTTCCCCTGTGTAACCGCCACATGGCCACTTCTAGTTATGGTCCCCAAGTCCACACCACCATGACGATCTGGGATAGATTCTTCAGCAGTCCCGAAGTTCAGAGGTAAGCCACCCCACGCATTTGCGCAAGTGTTTGGGTTTTATTTACGATCACGTGCCATGTTGCCCTGCATTACTCAGATAATCACCTCATTTCACCAGGCGAGTGTTTTCACAACGAGTGCATGGAAGTCTGGGGTCAAAGAAACACTTATTAAATAATGCCCACACATTTCCTGAGCAGACTTTTCAAGCAAAGCCAGTAACGTAAGGAAAGCGCTGCCTACTTCCTCTGCTTCCTGAAACTTCCCAGTTAGCGCCTGGGATCAGCTCCACTTGGGGAGACCCGCAAACCCTTTCGGCTTATCGGCCCCGGGAAGAAAGAGGTACTTGAGTGGAGTTCACGCGACATGCGCTGGCCTCTCCCTTCGCCCTCCCAGCAGTTATTTCCTGCATCGAAGGGAGACGTGGAAAGGACATTTACATGGGTGGCAAAAGCCCCCATCTTGGTGTCAGCCCAAAGGAAGGGACATCAAGATAGGAAGACGGAGGTAAGGGAAATCAAGATAGTTCTTACATAGCGGCGCTGTACCCCCACCCCCAGAACCCAACCCAAGACCCCTTCACTTACGGCTGATCCTGTGTCTTTCCTTGTTTCTAGAGGTGCTCAAAGAGTCCAGCAGACTCGTTTCCTGCCCGCCGTGTTGGAAAGTTGGCACCGATTTCACAGCTGAGGTCCTCTTGTTGAAATCCGATTAGGTTCTTCTCTGTGTTATCCTTGAACGGGATCCTGGACATTAATACCGAATAAGGAAGGGGCTAGCAGGGGGGTCAGGCACAGCAGTCTACTGGGGAAGGTCAGCGGTGAAAGTCCTCCGTGCACACCCAAGCACCTGACAGGAGCCTGAGAGCTAGCAGCTAGGGGTCTGCATAACCCTTGAAGAAAGGACTTCCTAAGCCTCAGTTTCTTAATCTACAAAATGGGCATGATATTCCTCACAGCAGAACCCTGTGATGAAAAGTGAAACGATGGTCTCCTTTGGAAGTCTGTACAAATGTCCATTTGAAGTCACCAACGAGAAGTGCTTTTACCAAAGTGCCTGGCACTTAGCGGGTACTCCAAAGAAAATTGTACTTCTGTCCTTACGGTTACCCAGGGAGGCCAGTATTATTGAACCTATTTTACGGAGGCAGCTCAGGATAATTCTGACTACATCACACATCCAGCAAGGGTTGGGGCTGAGGCTGAATCGGGCAAAAACTCAGTTGTATGCCCTCTCCAATGGGACAGGGATCCTAAAGCTTTGGGGGGCAGGTCAGTAGAATCTCTACAGACTCTGGTTAAAGGTGAACCTTCTGGGGCCTCATCCCAGATTCCGACCCAGGAGTTCCATAGGGGGGCCCAGATTCTAATGAAAGTGGTCTTTAGCGACTACCCCAGAATTCTCAGTATAAAGCACTATGGACGTATCAAGTATTGTTATTACTACAAGTAATAATATCCCTATTAATATTAGTTTTTACTTTTATAACTACACTGAAAGGTAAGAGCTTGAGCAGAGACTAAGTGAAAAAACAATCACATCCATACAAGCACACACACATACATATAAATGTAAAAAAAAAAACAAACAACCCAGATCTGATTCTACTCACTCCAAATAGTAATAGAGAGTAACCTTACTAGACCTCCCCAGACCAAGTATATTTTGTTTTAATAAATTTGGTAAGCTGAAACATGTTTCGTGAGCCTATAAAAATGGCTAAATCTCTCAAAGTCTCTGGATTTGGGAGGCTTTTTTTTAAGGGTTTTTTTGTTTTTTTTTTTTTAGGTTGATTTATTTATTTTGAGAGGGAGAATGCTCGTGTGCATGCATAAGCAGGGGAGGGGCAGTGAGAGGGGGAGAGAGAGACTCCCAAGCACACTCTACACTGTCAGCACGGAGCCTGACACGGGGCTCGAACCCATGAACTGAACCGTGACGTCATGACCTGAGCTGAAATCAAGAGTCGGACGCTTCAGCAGGACTCATCATCAGGGAAACACCAATCAAAACCACAATGAGATACCACCTCACGCCTGTCAGAATGGCTACAATTAACAACTCAGGCAACAGATATTGGTGAGGATGCGGCCACTGCTGGTGGGAAGGCCAACTGGTGCAGCCACTCTGGAAAACAGGATGGAGGTTCCTCAAAACCTTAAAAATAGAGCTACCCTACGACCCAGCAATTGCACTACTAGGTATTTATCCAAGGGATAGAGGTGTGCTGTTTTGAAGGGACATATGCACCCCCATGTTTATGGCAGCACTATCCACAACAGCCAAAGTATGGAAAGAGCCCAAATGTCCATCGATGGATCAATGGATAAAGAAGATGTGGTATATACACAAAAGAGTATTACTCGGCAACCAAAAAGAATGAAATCTTGCCATTTGCAACGACGTGGATGGAACTGGAGGGGATTATGCTAAGTGAAATTAGTCTGACAAATATAGGACTTCACTCATATGAGGACTGTAAGACACAGAAGAGATGAACATAAGGGAAGGGAAGCAAAAATAATATGAAAACAGGGAGGGAGACAAAACGTAAGAGACTCTTAAATATGGAGAACAAACAGAGGGTTCCTGGAGGGGTTGTGGGAGGGGGGATGGGCTAAATGGGTAAGGGGCATTAGGGAATGTACTCCTGAAATCATTGTTGCACTCTATGCTAACTAATTTGGATGTAAATTTAAAAAAATAAAATTAAAAAAAAAAGAGTTAGATGCTTAACCAATAGAGCCATCCGGGTGCCCTTTTTGGGAGGTCAGGCAAATGAAACTCACTCATTCACCCAATAAACTTGTCATTGAGCTATTTTGTGTTAAGCACTGGGATAAATGTGAGGGGTTCAGAAATCAACGAGACTGAAGTCTCACGAAGCCCCCAAACTTGTGTGTCCTGTTGAGGAAACAAACTATATCAAATTATTCCAGTATACGTAAGTGCTACAAAAGAAAACCTCAGGGTGCGATGCCTATTGGGGATCAGCAAGTTTGGGGTAGAATGTTCTTCCTGAAGAATAGTCATTTAAGCTGAGCACTAAAGGTAGAAGGGGCTCACGTGTGTAAAAAGCCAGAGTGGATGGCAAGTGCAAAGGCCCTGAGGCAGGAAGGAGCTTGGTGGATCCTGGGAGAGAAAGAAGCCCTAGGAGCCGGCTGTGGAAACCCAGAGCAGAGCACAAGGCAAGGTTGGAAAGAAAGCAGAGATCACACAAGGCCGCAGGGGCCCGGGTCGGGAGTTTGAATTTTATCCCAAGTACAGTGGGTTAGCCATGGGAAGCCTTCAAATGAGAGCGAAACGTCATCATACCTGCCTCCTAAAATAATCGCTCTGGCCACTGTGTGGAGAATGGAGTGGTGGGGACAAGAGCACAAGCAGGGCACTGGTGGGGTGTACCCCAAGGAGGGAGGCCCAGGGGCGGGGGGGCAGTAACGGTTACATAGGGGGCAACCACCCTCATAAAGGACCTGGAAACGAAGCGCCTGTTGGCTGCTGCCCTCCAGCCTGAAGCTCTGTTGCTCTCTGTCCTCTGTCCCCTCCAGCGACCTGGACCCTACAGGGGACACTTCCCCTCAGAAGGAGCCAGGAGGTCCCTTCCCGGGGCCACTCCCATTACAGCCTCCTCTGCCCCTCACACCAGGCTAGGGACAGGTGGCTCATGAGTTTGTTAGTTCTCAAGGGGACAACTACGCCCCCAGGGACCCCCTGGCAATGTCTGCTCACATTGTTTGTCGTCCCAAGTCAGGGGTGGATCGTACGGCCACCTACTGAGTCAGGCCAGGGCTGCTAAATATCCTTCAATATACAGGGCAGCCCCCGCAACAAGCGATTACCTGGCCCCAATGTCAACAGTGTCAAGGTCGAGAAGCCTGGACTTCTATTTCTTCTCTAAAGCCAGTGTCTCCCCAGGCAGTTCCCCGAGGGGCAGGAGAAGAAAGAATTCAAACGCTAGTACACAAGGCACAGGAAAGGAAACATGAATGCATTCATTGATCTCCTAGTGCATACAGGCCACTGCCTTTTACACGTTGACTCATTTCCTATTTGTGTGGCATTTTGGTTAGTTTTGGGTTTGGGTTTTTGTAGTTTTTTTTTTTTTTTTTTTTTTTTTTACAACAAACCTGTACAAGACAGGTTAATTTTGTTACTCCCATGCCACAGAAGGGGAAAGTGAGATCCCGGTCATTGATAACCTTTCAAAATCACAGCGCTGGGATTCAAGGCCGAGGCTCACTGATACCTAGTGCGGCGGCCTTCTCCGAATTCCATAAAACCTCTTAGGTCAGCCGGAGGGGAAACAGAGCGGCCAAGTCTGATTGTAGGAGTCTGGTGTCCTGCCTGGGAAATGTAAATAATTTAGAGTACAGAGGCGGGAGGGATAATCATCCTGTCTGGCTTCGTGGGCCACCCAGAGGGAACGCTGGACCCCTCGCCACCATCCACGCCTGCAGGTCACCCCCCCCCCCCCGCCAGCGTCTCAACCAGAAGTCCAGCCATTCCAGCAGGATCAAGGTGAAAGGTAAAAATAGCATTTGGCAACCAGAGTCCTCAATCCAGGAACCACTACTCCAGGCTGAGTAAACGATATGGAGCAGAACTCCACCAACGTGTATTAATTTGATGCCTACTGTATGCAAACCTCCAAGGCAAAAACAGCGATGACTGGAAAGTCGAGTAAATAAATAGTTTTCAGACACCTTCCACTCTCATTATAAAATGCTTTATCAAGCCTATGTTTTATGCCAAGCCAAATGCAAGGCTCTGGGGTACCAGGACAGGCCCTGACCTCAAAGGGCGGGAAACAAACTACAAGAGACTCTTAAAGATAGAGAACCAACTGCGGGTTGACCAAGGGAGGTGGGTCGGGGGACGGGCTAGATGAGTGATGGCTACTACGGAGGGCATTTGTCTGGACGAGCGCTGGGCGTTGTATGAAAATGATGAATCACTGAATTCTACTCCTGAAACCAATATTGTACTGGAGGTTAACTACCTAAGATTTAAATTGAAAAGTTAAAATTTTTTAAACTTAAAAAAAACAATGAAAGTGCTAATTAAGATCCATGCTGAACTCTCCTGGAGTTGGGTGGGGAATGGATGGCCAGCATCCCGAGTCCGGGCACTGAATGGATCGTTATGAGAAACTACCAAGGACCATTCAGAAGGGCAGTTTCGATCTACAGGAGAGAAATCAAGAGAAGCCTTGCGACGGACCGGCCCTTAATCTCAGGAAAACTCACGTGTGTAGGTATGAGAAGACTTGCTTCCTGCAAGAGGAGAACTAGTCAGAGTGCTAGACAGTGGAAGAAGTAATTTACCCAGAGGCCAGAGCCATCTGGAAGGACAGAGACGGGAGGTAGGCAGGACCATTCAGGTACCACGGGGGCACTGTCTTTGGAGCCCTTTGTACGTGGTCGCACCGAGACTGGTAAGGACTCCAGGGGAGTGTGTTTATTGACCGCACCGAATAGATAAGAAAGCTGAAACACCCACCTACTACCCCAGCAGGAAGCCCAGAAGGGACCCCAGGCCCTCTGGCTCAGAGCAGGTGACTGCCAGCTGGCACATGGGCCCAATCTGGTGCATCACCTATTTTTTGCATAAATGAAGTTCCACTGGAACAAAACAGTCCTGTCCCCTTGCATAATACTGTCTGCGGCTGCTTCCGTGCTGGGACGGCAGAGCTCAGTGTGACAGCGACCATAAGGTCCACAAAACCTAAAGCATTTACCATCCGGCCCTTTAGCAGAAAAAGTCTGCGGACTGTGGCTCCACAGCTCGCTCTCTTGGCCCGGTCAGCCCAGCGAGGTCGGAGCTGGCAGCACTGGATGGGGCCCTCCCCCTGGGGACACTCCCAGCCCCTGGACACTGCGGGCCACTCCCCACGCTGAGGGGGCAGCGCTGGTGGGGAGGCGGAACTCAAGGGTCTTCTCAGGACGTACAAAGCCCTGTAAGAAAGCACATCCCTTGAGTGCTGGGATTCCTGTGGCATCTCCACTATTTATATTGAAAACACCACAAGAACTCATTTTTCATGCTATTTCAGCTGAAAACAGCCATGGCAGGACCACAATCTGGAGATCGGGGCCGGGGGGGGGGGGAGGGGGGTGTTTGCACAGCGGGGCTCAGCCCGAACGGTGCCCCAGGTTGCCTGTCCCAGGTGCACTGGGCCCCGGCCAGCCTTTCTTCTGGGATAGTGGGCTTGAGGAATGAGGCGAGGCGAGAGGGCAGAAGGTGCCTCGCTGGAAACGTCGCCTCCTGTAATCTGGAAAAGCATGAAGCCGCGAGCTGGCGCTCACACATCCACCTTGTTCGACAACCGCGCATGGGTCATTAATTGAAATAAAATGAAATGAAATGGAATCCAGATGTTCGTATATGTTCGCTCGCACAAAACACAGAGACCAATCGCCAAATGGAAATGCACCAGAGTATCAGCCGCAGTTATTTGAGGGGTGTGGAAGTTACCTCGTGGTCTATCTCAACCCCTTGCCTTTGTTCTGGTTTCCTGGCACTTAGGCTAAGAGAAGGGGGAGAGAAGATAAAATTATTACTTAGAATTATTTTGCGTTTCTCCCCGTAAGAACGTACACTCCTTACGAGACGATGTTTATTTTTCAGTGTTAGATCTCTGCTGCCCAGCACACAGCCTGGAACATAGTAAGTGCTCAATTAATAGTTATGGATTCAGTCAGTGACTCTATTTTCATATATGCCAAATGGGTCCACAAGGCACATACGTTGTTGTTATAACTTTCATAAAGCACATGATTTAAAAATATACAGGGCACCTGAAGGGTTCAGTCGGTTCAGCGTCTGACTCTTGATTTCCGCTGAGGTCCTGATCTCATGGTTCGTGAGACTGAGTCCCACATTAGGCTCTGCACTGAAAGGGCGGAGCCTGCTTGGGATTCTCTCTCTCTCTCTCTCTGCCCCTCCCTCGCTTGTGCATGTAGTGTTCTATCTCTCCCTCAAAATAAACACACATTTTTTTATTTTAAAAAATAAAAAAAATAAAAAGACCTATCAATCAAGTGAAAGAACAGAAACGGAAGACTTATTTAACAAATGTTTACTACTACCTACTATGTGTCCACATCACCATTTTCCCCTACCTTCAGGAAGCCGTGTCTGGTCTAAAATTCATAGCAAACCCTCAAGTAACGCCTCAGAAGTATCCCTGACCACACATATTACACAAACCACCACCACCATAATCACCACCTACTTTGAAAGTGATATATAAAACAAACAAACAAAAAAAACCTACTCATCTTTAAGAGAATAAATGCTCCAGGGAGCCCATTATCCCAATCCCTGAGAGTCTGGAATACATTGTCCTGAGAGATAATAAAACCGAATTACAACCAGAGCCCAGAGGAGAACCTAAAGTTGTTTTGGATAAGCTATCACGAGCCATTAGAAGCCAGGAACCAATTGTTTGAATAAACAAGTCAGCACTTATGAACGTTGCCAACACAAAGCCTGGCACCTGACATGCCTCATCCCACAGGCCCCCATCAGGCCTCAAACTCAGAGATCAAAGTCAAAAGCACACAGTGAACTTAAGACAGTTGGAAAGGTTAACGACAAGCATCTGAGAGTTAGCGAAGTCACTATGCGCGCTTAGTATGGGAAGCAGAAGACGGTGAGGCAGATCTCGACTCCTTCTCCTCCCTTCCACAAACATGGGAATGAAACCTTTGTCGCAAAGGCCACTTACTTACGTTGAGTAAGAAAAGACGCCCAAAGAATAGCCGAGGTTGCAAAATAATAGCTGACCCGACTGTGTTGCTCAAGTCTGGCCCGCCAGTACTAAATGAGACCGGTGCTTGGATTTAATAATAAACCCGTGACTCTACGGGTTAACCTGCCCTCTTTGGACTTTCGTTACCAAAGATGCCCGCGACAGCTACCATGTTATCTAGAGCAGATCTGCCAGCCGAGAAGTGATTCCTATGGTAAGGGGGTGGGAAGGGCAGCTGGGAACAGGAGACGGCCCCTCCGAAAGTGAAATAAACATTCTTAAGAAGATAACACCCTCCATTAACCATCTCCCAGAACGATCAAAAATAAAATAGAATAGCCCTAGCCCATTGGAACAATCTTTTTATCCCAGGGAGAAAAAAGGAGCCAAACCAAAATGGTAGCCTGATGTAGATTTTTTTTTTCTCTTAAGATTGTCAAAGGACGGATTACTAGACTTTATCTAGTCATCCCACAAATGAGGAGTAATCACTGGCCGTGTGGCAGGCCTAGGTGCTAGGAAGACAAAGGCCAGTCTTTGCCCTTAACGGCAAGTATGATTGATTCCTTAGGAACAGGTTAAAATTTGCTAATGGCCTTCTCTGGGCCAACTTTTGAGCTAGGTGCTTCGTAAATGGCATTCATCCATTCAGTAAGTGTTTGTTAAGCCCCCGGCAGGTACGATAAATACACTGTTGGGGCACTAAGGTTGCACGAAACCGACGCAAATCTGTCCTCACACACCTCACTGCGGGTCAGTACAGCTCCGCTCAGCAGACATTTTTCCAGTTTCATGGGGAGGAAGAGTGGGATTAGACACAACCCACTCGAGGTCACACCCCAGTCACCCCAGCCCACCCTCAGGCCTTTCCTCCTCCCCCCAGAAAGCCTGCCAGGACCAGCTGGCAAAGAGTGGAATGGGAGTCGCTTTATTGCCGGACAGCTGTTTGAGTTTGTTTTGTGTTTTGTTTCTACATAAACACCCTTGTCTATGAAACCCTTGTCTATTTCCCACTGCTGCCAAAACAATAATGATGGTAACAATAATAATAATAATAATAATGACGATAATGTTCCCTTTTTATTTTTCCTACAACACATGGCCCTTTCAGGCTATTTCTTTTCCTTTAAGACAGAGTCTGTGTTAACAAGAAACCCTCACCTTCCTTTTAACATTGGAAGAAATCATCAGAATGACCAGATGGGACGTGCCAAACTCACTCTCGCCAACCTCCACATCCAGGAGGTGGCAGATGGGCCGTGGTGGGGGCCGTGGGGGAATGGGGACCAGGCGGCCCGCATCCGAGGGCCACTTGCCTCTCAACCTCAGCCGATGGTCATGATGCAAAAATTAAGCCAAGTGTGGTCAGAACTTCTGATTTTTTCAAGTGAAGCCAGAGGTCCGGTTTGCTGGGTCAAATCTCCCAATATTTAGACATTGGCAATGGAGGTTTTAAAAAATTTGAATGTGTAGAACAACATTTCGCTGGCCCAACAACACGTATTTTGGTGTTAAATCTGGCACAGTTCTCTGCATTATTCCAAGGGTGCTTTCCAGCGCATATCGTACGTGTTGAACAATATTTTAACGTATTTATTTAGAGTACCTATCAGTGGTCTTTTCCTTACCACATTTATAGATATGCCATAAACCAACTCCACAGGCAAGGGGAAGACTGTGTTTGTATCCAAGAGCCCTTATCCTCCAAGTACCAAATAGAAGATGGCGGCAAGATGGGCAGTCATGTGTAGAGGAGGGAGAGGCCATCCGGTTCTCATGAGTAAGTAACGTTTAAGGGCACATAAGCACAATCGCCTTGATGTGGAAGTTCTGGAAGGCTGGAACAGAATGTTACCCTGAGGCAAATAATCGTGTATAAAATGGCGACAGTGCCTGGTCTACTGTGTAAAGTCAGGTCGGGGAGGCAAGTCGTGATATCTCCTGGGGCATCTGGGTGGCTCAGTTGGTTAAGCATCCTCCTGCAGCTCAGGTCATGATCTCACAGCTCATGAGTTCGAGCCCCACACTGGGCTCTGTGCACACAGCTCAGAGCCTGGAGCCTGCTTCGGATGCTGTGTCTCCCTCTTTCTCTGCCCCTCCCCTACTTGAGCTCGCTCACTCACTTGCTCTCTCTCTCAAAAATAAACACTGAAAAAATGTTTTCAAAAAGTCTTGATATCCCCTACACTTAACACGGTGCTTAAAGTGCAGACGGCTTCCCATAAAAAGTTCAGGGTGAAATTAGCTCATATATATGAAGGCATTTTGATCAACAAAAGTATGGCATCGAGGGATTATTAATATTGATGAGGAGACACTTTTCAAAGGAAACTTCTATAGGACTCCTGAGAGAGCAATGATAAATTGAGGGTCTCTGGCAACCGTTAATGCCTTTGTCAAAGTTCAGCGAGGCATTTCCTTCTCAAAAACAATGAAGGGAAACTCATTCCATTGATTTCTGATCCAACTGGGGATACTAAGCCAAAAGCAGAAAGGAAATAGAGGTTAATATGTGGCCCTTTTTGGATTTCAGAGTCAAGAGACACAACCTAACACCCGTAGCCTCCCCTAAAAAAGGCGGGGGGGGGCAATGTTCTCAGATGAGAAAGAAATAAGCTTTATATTCATCTAAGGCCAGGACTCCCCTTCAAGTGCATAACACAAGCTTTGGAATCAGAGAGTCTTGGGTTCAAGTCCCAGCTCCAAGAGTCACCAGCTCTGCTACCTTGGACAAACTGCCAAGCGTCTTTGAGCCTCTGAGTAAAGGGACGAATTGACAAAAGCAGCGCCCATCTCCTATGACTTATGAAGAGGGCAGGAATAATGTACAGTGAAACCTAATTACCCTCATGTAAGTATCAAACCAGACACAAAACGATCTCATTTCAGGCAGACATGAAAAGCCAAGGAGCCGATTCCATCAAGTTGAAAATCCCACCACGATTTCATCCAGGATGTAAACGGGGTCTTGATATTTATCTCTTTTCGAACTCCCCCGAAGTACCCTGGGCTGCCTGCACACGTCGATGTTTCTCTCGGCAGGGCAATCCACGAGCACAGATTGCCCACAGCTGTCCCAACCACATGAAAGACCCGGGCGCTCCCCAGTGACCTCCTGGCACGAGGTAGTCATTCATCAAATGCTAGGACCTCAGCACCAGACACGCCATGAAAGGTTAGCCCTTGGTTTTTACTGCGTTGGTATTAGCTTTCCCTGTCTGTGGCCATTTGTTCAGTACAAAGCTTTATACTGTTTACAAATGGTTGAGAGTCCTGGCCTTTTCTTCTTAGTGACTTTTAGACACTTGCGTCATTAATCTTTAATTTCCCCTGGAAACTTCAGTCAGCAAGGAAAATGAAATGCTGCCTTCTGCCCTGGGCTTCGAGTCCTGCCGGACCGTGCACTTCTGCAAGAGGTCTAGGTGCGACGGGGTGCGTTGGGGAAAGAACCGCCATCATCCGCTCCGTGCAAAAATGGAACCTGTTATCTTCGTGACACTGTGTATGCGTCTGATACCAGCCATACCCGCCAAAGGCACCCAGGGCGGTGTTTAGTACACCGTGAGCATTTGGTAAAGAGCAGTGGGGCTTCTTTATTATAATAATTATGATTCCTGTTGATTTCATTCCCTTACGGCACTTGCCATAGCATCTGTGCTTGAGAAAAAGGAAAACGTGTCCAAGAGAGGAAGTTCTGAAGTAAGTAACACTTTCGCTGATAATAACTGCTACACAAATAGCAGAGCAATCAAAGACACAGCCAACACCACGATCTAGTCCAAGTTCCAGAACGTTGAACGTGGGCATGGGGCACATCTGTTGCTGTTTCCCTTACTGATGTCACGTAAGAGTGGGGGAGAAAAGTAAGTGGCATACTTTTTGTGAACGCAGAATTGTTTTCTTCCGGTTTCCTTTTGAGTAACTTCCTATCGTCATTCCTGTTCCATCCAACACAACGTTCTGGGATGACGGAAAAGCTGAATAACCTAGCAAGGGAGCTGACAGATACCTCCATGCTCTCAAAAATTCAACAGGAGGTACCAGTTTGAATTAAGATCTAACGATATCACAGTCTATGACGTGCATATACCATACTTTACATAGCTACTCCCTTACCTTTTCTTCTTATAGTTGATTTCCATTTAGTATTAATAATTCAAAGGATACTTTGGAGATACTCCCCAGTAACATACGCTGAAATTGGGAAAGCTAGCGGTTTTCTTAATGATCCTAAACTCTTAGAGTTCTGTATGCCATTGAAGACTCATCAGTCTATTGTAAAGAGTCAACGTTGGGCTGATCCATTCATAAGGAGGCCACTTGGATAGAATTATTGCATCCTCGTTGTATTACATCCTTCCCCATCACAGCTTACCGATCTATTGGCTTTTGATCACCAGCACCAACAATGTTGTTTATGCTGCCCAGAAATCTGGATGAGAACAGGAGTTCCAGACCTGGGAATGATGTCACACAGGGTGTACCAGTGGAGGACAGGGTCTTTGGGAGGCAGGTGAACAGCACAGACCAGCCGCCGGACCCTCCATCCTGGCAGGAGAGCCCAGGAACACTGCCCTCGTCACTTCCTGTGGGTCACAGGAGAAAACCCCATCCTCTACTGTATACCCACTTTGTACTTTCAAGTATTACCACATCCATTATCTTACGGGATCATCACAATGACCCTGGGTGGGGGGCACGTTGGGCAGAGAATAGGACAATGCTCACGGTTTACACGTGATCCTCAGATATTAACTTGCCTTGGATTACATGGCCATCCCCCATCAGCTCTGGGATTAGGACTTGGGCGTCACAGCTTCAAAGTACAGAGGTCTTCTGGTATACCCCATTTCCTCCAGTCCCCAAGAACAAAATAAGGCAGCTGTTTGGAGCGATGAATAACAACACCACCAGAAGGTTATGTATGCTGCTTAAATTAATAATTAAGGCTTTCTGGTTCCAGGTACCATGGAAGAAACACACCTCACCCTGCCTCTCCCACTGCATAGAGATATAAAACACTCACACAGCTGATACCGCAGCAGTTTGAGGACTCTGAAAAGTAAACAGTGGC